CCCTCAGGGCGACGCTTTCTGTAATAATAATAATCATAATAATAATAAGGTAACTTTTGCTAATCTTCCGGTCATGGTTCTCAGGATTCTGGCGGAGTTGTATATTGTGGCTATGCGATTGCTACCACCAGTGATCAATGTTCCCTTCCGGTAGGTTCCTCAATACTCCTACGACCGACTCTCAAACGCTGCACTTTAAGCTTTAAACCCTGAAGCAAAAACCTCGGCGCTAACCCTAGAAAGCCTGAGCCCCAAACCTTGAACCCTGGCCCGAAGCGTGAAACCCCGAAGCGTGAAAAAATCAACCCTGACCCGAAGCATGAAGCCCTGATCCCCCAAACCTTGCCCCAAACCTCCAACAAACCCCATTGCACCCAGCTTGTCCTGTCGTAAAGCTCGCTGAGAGAACCTCGAAGACGTTTGCAGATCAGCTCTTTCTTGTGTCTCGTTGGAGTCTTATGAGGCACGAAGTCCCACGGTTCAGGGGGTTTAGGGTTCAGGGTTCCGAGGTCATGTCAAGGGCTCAGGTTTTGCGGGATGCTTTTGGGGCCGGGGCTTAGTGGCTTAGTGTCGGTTCAGGCTCCGGGCTTAAAACTCTAGTTTACGATGCGTGCTGTTCTCGATGCTGCTTGACTCACTACCGGGCTAGTCGTCGTTTCAGACCCGTTGTTGACTCTGTCCGTGACGGGCTTGCAAAATGAAGGTGCGCTAGGCTGAATAAGAGTAAGACAACTGCGCCGTTCTTGAATATCCCAAAAGAAGAACACCAAAGACAACTACGCAAACAGATTGTGCTGCACAAAGTTGTCGCAGAACATGAAAGCCTACAAAATGCCGGTAAGGCCGTTTACGGAAGAAAGTCCGGGGCATCGTCAGCCCTGCGACGGCAGCCGACGGATGTACACGTGTACATATGTGTGTGTGTGTGTATATACATATATATATATATATAAAACACACACTCTCTCTCTCTCTCTCTGTACACATATCTGTATATCTGCATAGTCGTTGTGCACAAGGCGCTATCACCTACTTGCGAGGCAGATGTGCAGACAGGCATGCCCAAAAAAACTGAACAAACCAAACAGGCAACAACAAACGACTGAAACACAATTCGCGACATCGGGCCCTTCTCTTCCCCTACCGTCTGCTGTAGCACTCCTGGGCCGCAACCCTTTGGATGTGAGGATAGCAGCCGGGGTAAAGCCTTTCCAATTCAAGACTGCCAGGGTGTACGCCAGAAATGCCTGACTCGTGTGCAACGCCTGCTAATCAACTTCCAACTGACACCTTGAACCAAAAGCTGTAAGTTCATCCCGTCAACTTTCACACCACCTCCACCACCAGCTCGTAAACAAACAACTTCCGTCCGAGAGTCGCTTCTTCTTCGTCTTCTCCGCCGTTGGCATCACGCCACAGCCTCGGAAGATCTTGCCGCTTAGCGGAGCCACTCGGAACAGTCCGGTTTTTGGTTCTGTCAGCTTTTGGATACTTCGCTATACCACAACTGTCATTCATATGATCACCAGTTCACCACGATCTCCGCAGGCACTATGACACTATGATTTCGATCCAGTGTACGGTCACAGCTGCTCCACCACTGCACTTCCGAGCATCATCCCGAATTACTGCTGCTACAAGTCTCGCTTCGCGGATTGGCATGATAACGCTTATTCTTGTTGTCATGCGGGGCTTTCAATTCATTGGCCTTAAACCCTCCGTCCGCTTGGCTCCAAAACACCAAATCATATTGAATCTTGTTTAGTCAACTTCTTGTCATGGTTTGTTCTCGTTTGTGTTAGTTTGTCTCTCTTCGTCTCTATCTTTCTTCACTTGTCTTTGATGTCTTCATGTGTCTCCATTTGCCTTTATGACACTACTCTGGCTTTCTTGGTTTATCTTTCTCCTCATGATCGCCTGCGACATTGCTCTTGGTCCACAACCCCAATCGGCCCAACCCTCCTCCCAATCCTGGTGGGCCGCAGCCCCGCCTCACTGGACGTAACATGACACAAAGCAAAACGCAAACAAAAGCATCCGAGGGCCCCCGAGAAGCACAGGAGTTGAAACTTCGGGGGCAACGCTTGTAAAGCCTCGGGAAAATGTTCAAGCCACTTGTGATTTCGCATCTTTTGCAAAAAGCTTTGTCTTCACCTGCCATTAGTTGTCAGCCGCTGTCTTAGCTTATCTTTGCGTGCCCAAGTTTGTCTTCATCGGTCTGAACTTGTCGTAAATACAACTTTCAGCCCCGCCGTCGTCGTGATCGTCGTCGCTGTCGTCGTCGTGCATGTTGCGTTATTGAATGTGGCGAGCCGTATTCTGCTTCCAGTCCCGTGAGCATTTGGACTGCTGAAGGACCTGATTCAACAGAACTCTTTAGTCACTTTAGTCGGGCGCAGTGCAGCCATTATTTTACGCCAAACTCCCACACTACCTCCACCGGCAGCTCTCACAACCACACAACTTCCGTCCGAGAGTCACTTCTTCTTCGGCGGTGTCATCATCACGTCAGAGCCTCGGAAGATGCTGCGGCTTATCGGAGAAAGCTTCAGGCGACAGGGGCAGCCGGGCTAAATGCAAAATACGCCTCCTTGTTATAGACACGTGCATGGAACCTGAGTCCTCGAATGCAGGAACTTTTTTGGAATCTGCGTCGATCATGAACTGCTCATAGTATGATACCAGCAGTAATGTAGGGGCCTTAATAATTAGAACAGGGTCGGGGGCTCCTGTATTGTATAGTTAGAATAAGGAGCCCTAAGGAATAACATAGGCTATTTGTTAGGCCTCTATAGTAGTCCTTATCTTCATCGTCAATCAGGGCCCCAGCTATGCGAACTTCTGACTGAGGCATGAGCGCCCTCGAACGTGGATCCGTGGTTTCAGGCTGTTTAGTTTGGGGCCAGGCGCCTAACCCAAAGTCGCTTCTGAGTGTTTAGGCCTCCTCACCCTAAAGCCCTCGGCCTTAAGCTCCCTTGAAACCAACTCCAAACCCTCACCCACCGCCACGAAGCCGAAGTCCTGAAGCCCCACTTAAGTCCCACAACCCAAACCTGGCTCTTGGCTCCACTTCATCCCGAAGCAGATGGAAGCCGAACAACCTAAAGCCTCCTCAAATTTTTAAAACTCCAGACACCCTGGACCCCAAATCCTAAACGCTCTCATCCCCTGCTCTAATCACCCATAGCCCTAAACCTAAACACAGCAAGGCCGAAGTCGTTGCAAGCGGAGCTTTTGTCCTCGGTCTGCGGAGGCATTTCGCCGGTTGCAGCCCAAAGGCTCGACTCGAGCCTGGGAGTTGTTGTTGGTTGAAGGGATCTAGTACAGGGCTGCTATGTTCGGGGTTCCATATTTTTCTTAGAATATAATGTTCCCCAGGTTGGGCTTTTGGGATTTCAGGTTTGCGGGTTTCCTCTTCTCGCTTCCTTCGCAACCGTGACCACAGCGGTCGCCGCTTTTCGGCGTCTCCTGTGCACGGAAGGTGCAGGATTTCCTTTATGCAAGTGAGTGAGCGAGCGAGTGAGTGAGTTTGCGGGTTTCGGCTCTTTGAGGCTGAGGCTTGAGGTTTTGGGATTGGGTGTTTGGGGCCTGGGCTCAGGGGCTTAAGGCGTACAAAGTTGAGAGCTTAGGGGGTCTCCAGGGAGCAGCTTTGGGAAGTTGAGGGAATTCTGCGTTTTTGGGTTTATCGTCTTGAGGTTTTGGGGTTTAAGGCTTCGGGTTTAAAGCTATAACGTGTTCAGGGGTTTAGGGATTAATGCTTGGTGTTTGAGGTTTAGCTTTTTAGGGTCTAGAAGTCAGTGGTCTAGGACTTGGGGTGGGGCCTAGGGCTACTGCAGATCCCAAAACCCTAAACTCCCAAACCCCTAAACCCCTACACCTTAAATCCCAAAACCCCAAACTCACAAACCCCTAAAACTCTACACCCTAAACCCCTAACGCCTAAACCCCTAAACCCTAAACCCTAAACCCCTAAACCCTAAACCCCTAAACCCTAAACCTTAAACCCTAAACCCCCAAAAAGCCCTTCCGAGCCGGGAGACTGCTGCAGCTTTTCCAGCGCCTCTTGCGCCGTGCTGCGCTCCTTCGGCTCGGCCTTGACGACCGGCTGGTATACGTTGCTATTAGGTATCGATGCTATTTGTGCTGCTATTAGTGTTATTGCTATTGCTGTGAATATGTCTGTTGTGGGTCGTCGTGCTGTCCGACTGACTAAAGCCAAAATGTGCTACTACCGCCACCATTTCAGCACGGCCACTACCGCTACCACCAGACTACGACTCGGAACTACAACTACGCACACGACTACTACCACTACGATGACAACGACGACGGCGACTATGACCAGGGCTGCTGCTGCTGCTGCCGCCGCTGCTGCTGCCGCCGCTGCTGCGCGCGACTACGCTACTGCGGGTACTACTGCTAGTACGACGACGGCAACGCGACGACCACGGCGATGACAACCAAACCTTCTGTTGTATTGCGGCATTGTGACTCGATCGGTCGCTGTGTGGGAATGGAAGCTACGACTCAACAAGCAGCTTTGCCTCAGGAGCAAACGAACAAATGGCCACATCCACTCAACCACGAACTTCCTAACCCGGTGTAGTCCGGCTTCGATGATGTTGACTCAGCCTCCTCCAAGTCACTTAACCCTCCTTGCGCCTAAACTCCAAGCCCTGGCGCCTGCAGCATGGGTGACAAGACCTGTGCCAACAACTTCGAGGGCTCCTCGGGCAGGTGCTCCGCAAGCCTCCACGAGAAGGAGGGTGCTTTAAGCTTCCGCAGCCCACTGGTCTTACCTACCAAGTGGTGCAAATAGAAGCTCATCTGATGTGAAGAGTTGTGTGCTGTCGTTCTCTTCCTGCGGGCAGCTTTGTCAGCAAGGGTGCCTAGGGAGATGTGCGAGCCCTCAGCCACGGTACTGCTAGTGCGAAGCGCCGTTCATAGGTTGAGCATTAAGCTTTGGTTCTGAAAGTCTTGAGATCGGCTTCGTTCGGTGCCGCAAGGGAAGCAGAAGTGAGCGATCTCTTGCGTATGGAGCTTCGTGTCTCTGATGGCGCACCCATAATACAAGACTCCCTATGCTAAGTGCTTCTAGGGAGCACAAGCTGTCTTCTGGCTTTATAGACCTCGCAGATACGTCGACGATTAAAAACGAACCTAGCCTCGGAGCCCGGAATCGTTGAAGCCTGATAACAACCCGTGTGGGAGCCCGTACAGCAACCCTTATAGTCGCGCTTATAGGAACACTTCAACGAGCCCCGATCGACCTGGAAGTTTTCAAGTTCAGCTAGGAGGAACGCGATGGCTCCCCAGGGCTGTAAGAGTCTCGGGTCACGGGGAGTGCTGGCATGTTCGTTTGCGCAGTTCATGCGTTTACCCGCGTTCAACTAGCTGATGTTGTTACCGCTCGGCAAACTCGGCCAACTGACCTAAAGACTCTTTGCACCGCCTCGTCAATTGCCAAGACCCCTTCACGATATGGAGGTATGTGCCCCCCACAGTTAATCTAGGGGGGAATTAAGAAAGCTCAACATCAAGATTTACATCAAGATTCCGACTAAGATCCCTATAATTGGGATTCCTGTTGAGTTCCCGATAAAGTGCAAGAGGCCCCAAAGAGCAGGCTGGGCGCTTTTGAGGAGGGCAAGCGACCATCTTTTTGAAAGAGTTTAGGGTCTCGGGTTTAGGGCTAGGGTTTAGGATTTAGGGTTTAGGGAACCCACAAACCTCGTCCCAAACACGGAAAGCTCTACGCCCAAAATCCCTAACCTCGAAGCTCAACTCTCCAATGCCTCCCGATCAGGGCGCATCGAGGAAGCGTCGACATGGACGTTGCGACCTGAAGGCGTTCTTTGCTCCGCTAGGCAGTTCTGGGTTTCGGCTTGGGGCCTTTGTGGTTTAGAGATTTGGGGTTTAAGTTTGAGGGATTCGGCGTTTCCTGCTTAAAGCATGAGCCAGACTTTAGCTTTAATCCCAAGCCCTGAACCATTTAATCCCATAAGCCATTGACCCGGAAGCTCTTAGAACCCCGAAGTCCCGACTGAAGCGCCTGGTTCTGAGGAAGCGAATGGGAAGGAAGGTTACAGATCCTCGGAACCAAAATGACATGGGAGAGTCTTGATAGTTCCAACAGGGCTTTGGGGGAAGTATGCAATAGGTATAACTGGAATAACACTGGAATAACAGGGACTGAAAGTGGGATAATAGTACTCAGTAAGAAAGTGAGATACCCTTAAGAGACAAGAAAGGAATGCATTTCGCAGCGCCTCATCCATGTTGCCAGCAATCAGGTAGGCATCGATGTTATCATTATAAGCTCACGGTTGCTGTTACTGTCATCATTGCTACTGCGCCAACAGAAGCTCAGAGCGCTACCCGAACTAGCCTCGCCTCGGAGCCATCCGGAGACTGGAAAGGCCACGTGGCGGATTCCAAAAGACCTGCCGGGGATTTGGGGACTTTGGCTGCGGATTGGCTTTGGGGGCCTTGGGACCTGTGGGATTCACTCGAGGTTGAGAGTTGGAGGTTCTGGGGCTGCACGAATCCGGATTGAGGGGCTTCTTTACAAGAGTTGCATACCGCCATCTTGCCATCCACACAACCCCCAAGCCAGAGGCCCCAAACCCGAGAATCGGAAAAGCCTGAAACCCGAAACCATACAGTTAAGCGCGAGGGCTTTGGATTTACGGCTTACGGCCATTCACAGAAACCACAGCATGCCGCAAGAGCCCTAATCCGAAACATGTGGCTCAGGTCAACTATCCGAGTCTTTGCTTCACATGGAGTGCTTGAACCAGGTGGAACTCCTAAGCCCTATACCCGAAACCCTGATCCCTACCCCTGAACCCGAAACCTTGCTCAAACCCGAAACCTCGATCCGTAAGCCCTAAACCCCAATTCATGTGCCCCTCTCATCACAGCCGGCAACTTCAAGTTGTAGTAAACGGGGATCTGTTGTAATCCAACGACTGTAGTTCAGAACAACCCCGAACCGCGCACCATGAAATGTACCACACAACATACCAAATCATACTATGCTAGACAATAACACACCATAATAACCACAACAGCCATAACATACCATAACCTACTACAATATGGTGCCCCGATTGCGTGCTGTGATTTTCGCCTCCCGCCGTCGTTCGGAAGAAGGCACCGAGACGGCGGCTACGGCCCAGCAGCGACGACGGCAGGGGCCCGAGCCTAAACTAGGGATCTAACGGTTAGAATGAGGGTTGGGGGATATTACACTCGTTACTACTAGTACTTCAAAAAAGGAACCGAAAGAATAGCTTTGATAATTGTTAGTACAGGGTCTTGGTGCATACTATACTAGTAGAAGGACACCTCAATAGTGTTGGCAATGAGCAAGTGGGGGGGTAGTGCTACCAGCAACATTCCTAGTAGTTGTTGTAGCCGTAGTGGTGGTAGTAGCAGCAGCAGCGGCGGTAGTAGCAGCAGCACCATCCGCGGCACTGCAGGAGCAGTAGTCGTCGTCGTCGTCGTAGTCGTAAAAGCCGCACGATTGAGCCATCTTCGCAGCAGCAGGAATCAAACTGATAGAGGGTGGCACAGCAGCAGCAGCAGCAGCAGCAAGAGTCGTCGTCGCCACAGTACCTGCAGCCGTACACTGGCACAAGCAGGTTTGTAGTACATGTGCAGTACTCAAAGCATTGATGGCACTACCGGTCATCGGTATCAACAATACAAGCGGAGAATACTAGCAGAAGTGGGGACGGCACTTTTGGCGACACTGCTGTAACTTTCGATAATGACGATGAATGCTGGCAGTATTCGCCTTCGTCGTCGTCATAGTGGTGGTGGTGGTGGTGGTGGTGGTGGTAGTGGTCGTAGTAGTAGTAGTAGTGGTAGTAGTAGTAGTAGTAGTAGTAGTAGTAGTAGTTAGTAGTAGTAATTAGTAGTAGTAGTAGTAGTAGTAGTAGTGGTGAGAAGAAGAAGAAGAAGAGTAGCGGAAGAAGAAGAAGAAGTAGTTGTTGCTGTTGTTGTTGCTGATGCAATGTCAGTAATAGTAGCAGTGGCAGTAGGAGCAGCTTAGCTGCTGCAGAGGTAGAAGTAGCAGCTAACAAAGTGGACACTGCAGCCACGTTTTCTGCTTTTTGGGCAAGCTCCACGACCACACCAAAATCAAGAGTAACAGCATGAAACCGAAAACGGCTCCAAGAGCCCCGCACAAAATTCGTCCCAAGGAGCAGTTCGACGATCTGGGCGACATGCTCCGGCCCGTTGGCCAGAGCAGGACGGGCCTCAAGGTTTTTGGGACTTCGTGGCCTAGGGGGCAGTCTGCTCCAAGTCAGGGATATTGGGCTCCTGGGAGCTGCAAAACAAGCCGTTCTTGCGAATCAAGTCACTGGCAGCGCTTGCGGCCGGGCAAAGCTCCGCCGCGGATCGAAAAGGTAGCCTCCAAAGGACTCCAAAGTGAACACGCTGTTGAAAGTTGACTCAGGCTTTGGTTCCCGAAGTCTTTGGTAGGTATTTCTTAGAGCTGCGCTTGAAATAAACCACCACCGGATGACGAGGCTCAAAGCTCTTGCTTCTGGTCACGGTCGCTATCCTTGTAATAGTCCTTGGCATTGCTGCTCTTGTTACTCGCGTCTACCCCCGATTGCTGTCGTTTGTATTCGTCTCATTGTCTTGAGTGTTCCCTTTCCTATGTGGCTGAGCTGCCTCATTGATCTTGCGTGTCCCATGTTTTTCACGGTTGTAACTGTTCCTATTCCTGACTCTTCTCGGTATTCGGACTCGCAAACACTACATTCTGACTTCCTTGCTCGAGTTCTATGCGCACCTCGTTCCTCACATTTTCATTGGCCAAACTCTTCTGAAGCCACTGATGTTGTGATGGCTGTTTCTATGTTGTCAGCCGTGCTCGAAGTTTGCTGCCTTTGTCGTTTCTCAGTATCATCATTGCCGCGAGCCATCGTTGCTGTATGTACTACGTATTCTGCTACGACTTGTAAAGTACGGCAACGATGGCGATTGTGGAAAAGATGAGGGTCATCGTAACGATGACGGTGGTTATGGTGATGCGGAACTTGAAATGACAATGAGGATGGAGACATCGACTATGACGCTGGCGCGAAAAGATGTGGGAGAAGAAACGCATGGCCCTTTGAGCACATACACCGTGAACCCCGAAGCCCGAAGCCAAAAACCTTCTCAACTTCTCATCAGATCCCTAAACTCGAAAATCCATTCTTCATCTGAGCTGCGACCAGTAGCCAGCTCGTAGACCGTGCATGCCATGGACCAAATGTCAGCTCCGGTGTCGTAGCCCGCATTCAGCATGACCTACTAGAACCCCAACACCCTAGACTAAATTCACGTGTCGGCAACGGTCTAGGGTCTAGGGCCTCGCGTAACAGATCAGATTAAGACGCCCTGCTGGCTTTTCACAAGAATATCCTCTTCTTGGAGTCCAACGGTGTCTACAAAGCTAAGGTAGGTAATTAAGGCCCCTGTATTACAGCCCATGTCCTCACATCCTCGCGCTTCCACTAATGCCAGAGTCAGGCTAGGGTTGCGGGTTGAAAGTGTGGGATTTCAGAATGACCGGGTAGGGTGTTTTTTTTGGCGGGCCCCTGTCCTCCGCGGAGCATCCGAGAACCCGTCTGCCGGGTGAGCCGTGCTCCGGAGTTTTTTAGACCTACGATAAGCACACGCCCCATGGGGCCCGTAGGGATGAGACACTTCCAACGAACATGTAGCCATCGATGAGGACGTCCGTGTAGACCAAATAGTGCCAAAATCATTCGAGCTAGTGATAAGGCTGATGATAAACTATACAAATCTGCCGGCCCCCCCGCGGGCGGACGTGGAATGTACCCAGGGGTCTAGCTACTAGCAGCTTCTAGAATCTATGGCGAAAAGGCAGATCCGGCGCCTGAATTGCACGCAGGGTTGGACCTCAGAGATCATGCCTAGCTGAAGCTGACCTTGCCCTTCTCCACATCGGCCCGCAGATAGGCTTTCAGCAACATCAAGCTGTAATTCGTCACATCGTGCACCGACTCGAAGCAAGCACTGGCACCAATCCACCAGGTCTTTCGCTCTCCTTGCATCTCAAAGAGCTTCCAAGGCATTTTCTCATTGCCGCTTGCGTGAATTGGTGGAAACAAGGCCGCGGATATCAGCATACCAAGACCCATCTTGCTCTGACCCGCTCATCTTGTCCGCGCTGTACATGATCGGCAGCGTTTCATCCGAGTAATCGAGAACGGGATTGCTGGTGTATAGAGTCGGGGCCAACACAAAGCTCTCCATACGATTGAAGATGGACGTCTCTTTCTCCACCAAGTTGTTTCACGTACTTGTGCGAATGGGCAAAAGGCTCAGGCCGACCGAGGCCGAGGCCGCTGCCAGGTATGGCTGGTGGCCTGACTCTGGTCTGCAACTCGATGGCAAAAGATCCTGTCTCTTCTTTCGCGTGAGCCTTCGTTCGACTTGCGTTCTTTGATTTTTCTTTGTTCTTTGCTGAGGCCTGTCCACACGATGTGGCGATTGACGGTAACCGCTTACGGCGATATCCGTAAGCGGTTACCGGCCATCGCCACATCGTGTGGGCATGCCTCAGCAAAGAACAAAGAAAAATCAAAGAACGCAAGTCGAACGAAGGCCCACGCGAATCAAGAGACAGGATCTTTTGCCATCGAGTTGCAGACCAGAGTCACGCCAGGGAGCGAAATCATCGTGCAGTTGGCGATCGATGCTTTGAATCTGCACACCAAACCGGACGTCGATTGCATCACGCTCAGCCATGGTTGTCCAGATCTTTTGATACCCTTCAGGCAGCATGTGTGTCGTCCGCTTCACAGGGACAGCATGGGCCCCAAAGGCAAGCGTTACAACGGCATCCACCCACAGGCCCCGCAAGTACTGCCAGAACTTGCGAAGGCCGCCAGAGCATGCAAGTCGTTGCTTTCAAGGTGCTCCAGAAACGTCATGTTGATCCACTGGAGATTCTCGTCAGAAAGTGGTGCTGGCACAGAAAACTCGATCTCCCCGAAAATCTCCTTGTGCATCTTGCTGTACATGTTCACGGCGTGGAGCAGCGAGTACATCACTTTCCAGTCTTCCGTAAGAGCCCAAATCGGCACTTTGATCTTGCCTTCTTCGATGGCTTCCAAGATCGAGCTGCTCACGAACTTCTCCATGGGCAAAGCATGCAAGTGATCCGTAAAGTTCGAAATCATGGCACGGCCCTCGGGTGCCACCACAAGATCATAGCTCGTGCGGGAGCCGTTGTGCGGGAAGCAGGTGCCCATTTCGAAGGCGACACAGGATTTTGTGTCGATCCTGTCAGTCTCTTCGTCCTTCTCCTGGACGCAGCTAGCTGTTTCTGTGTAACCCAACTGCTTCAGTCGACAGCGGCCACAAGCCCACCCCCGATGATTGCAATTTTCGGATCCGAGTCCGAGCTCACCGAGCCGTCGCTGCTGTCATCGTACAGGAGATATGGGCCGAACTGCGACTCCGTGGATCGACAAATCGGGCCGCCCAGCATGGCCAGGATCCCAAGAGCAAGAACAGAGAAGTTGCGCGCAACATGGAGGCCGCGGACAACATGGGGTGTTGCAAGCTTCAGAAGGAGCTACAAAGATAGGGGTTTTGAGAAGCTTGAGATCAAGCTTCAAGTGGCTTAAGCCGTAATTAGAGTTTAAGGTTTGGGATGAAGGGGGTTTTAGGCTTTAGGTGGTAGAACCTGCTAGAGGGACCGCTGCCGTCCGTCTTCCCCTCGCATATACTAGCTGAGGCAAGACGGATTTTTGGAAGGTGGGCAAATCCGCAACACGGATACCAAGCATTGAACTCTTTACACCTGCTATGCCCATTCCACGAGCTCGCCCCTTATGCACAGTACGACAGGGCTGTGGCCGCCTCCACCGCTTTGTACTCCATGGTGGTGATGTCCACCGAGACATGGCGGTCCCTGGTACCTGGGCTAGCAATCTCAGAAAGCCCTCGAGAACTAAACGCACTACAATACAGGGCTTAGGGCTACAGTCCGATGCTTCAAGCAGTCCTGGGCAGGTCTGCACCACTGCACAGCCAAGCGAGCTCCAACATGAAACAGGATGCAGCTGTTCCCCAGGTCCACCAGGCTGAATGTTGCCGACGCACCTCGATCGAAAACTCAAGTGAACTCTGAAATTGAGGATGTGCAGCATTGTTGCTCTGAAAGTGGATGTTTTTGTCGCCCGGAGAAGTTGAAATTATGAGGCGATGGCATCTAACTTCCGTAATCCAGGCTAGTCGAGCGCTCTATCCTGCAATCGAAACTCCACACTACACCATAGCAGGGTACTCCTACTTCACCCAACCTTCATGGTAAGATGTTTTAAATTCAAGTCATGCCGTGCATGACCGAACGAATGCTGCAGCATGCTGCGCAACTCGAAATTGCCTTCAAAAGCCAGCGCCCAAGATTTTAAGATGCACTGAGCCCTAAACCCTAAACCTTAAGTCCTAAGCCCTGAACCCTAAGCCCTAAACCCTAAACCCTAAAAAGGCCTAAACCCTAAAACCCTAAACCACCAAAGCAAGTAAGCCCCGTGCCTTCCCGAAGCGCCGCCTCCATGAGACGAAGGCGCTCGGCACGGCCGAAGGGCAGCTTCCTGCGGAAGTGGACCTTAAGGGTTTTTTTTATGGTTTTAGGGCTTAGGGTTTTAGGGTATAGGGGTAAGGGCTTTAAGGTTTTAGGGTTTAGGGTTTCAGGGTTTAGGGTTTAGGGCCTTCTCTTGTTAGGGCTTATGTATGGTTTAGGATTTGGAGGTAGGAGCTCAGGAGCACGGTGGTAGCTGCAGCTTCCACCATCGTATTGTTGTGTACTCGCATGGGCTGGTGAAGGCGAAACTAGTGAACTAATGCATCGCCACGCATGTTGAAGGCGACTACGTGCCGACCTACACACCTGCCTCTCTCCGCCTGCCTACCTGCCTACCTACCCACATACCAGCAACCACCCATCCACCCATCCATTCATCCCTCCATCCATCCATCCATCCCTCCATCCATCCGTCCGTCCATCCATCCATCCATCCATTAATCCATCCATCTCTCCATGCATGCGTACATGAATGCATATGTGCATCCTTGCATGCTCTCATATTTGCATGCAGAATGCATGGGTACATGCATACGTGCATGGCTATCCTTATTACCGATATTGTATGGACAAAAAGAGCCATGCTCTGCCCTACCCAAAACTCCACCTCGTGATGTGTGTTTGTGTGAGAGGGTAAGCTAAAACCCGCCTTTTGTACCCGGATCCGAGTCGAGCCTCAGGATGTCAAACATGGCCGAACCGGGCGGGATGTTGATGAGGATATTCTCGGGCTTCACATCCTGCGCACGACGGAAGAGCTCACGCTACGCCCACAAACCTCTCGGTGATGAGCCTCCACGACTACCGCGAGGCTTTAACGAAGAACCGCGCACGCCTCTCTCGAAATACCACGCAGCGCCAGACACCCGAATACACACACGAAGAATCATCTGCCATCATCTGGCGAAGCCAAATTCCGAACCCCACGCCCGGAGCCAACACAGACCGGTCCGTGTGGATGATGGAGCATTCCCTGAGCCGTCACTCGCATGGCTTCTTTTCTCGACATTCTTCCAAGACTGTGACGGGGGCCGGGAGATCTCGAGCTCTAGCAGTACGGCTGTTAGGAGGAGAATCCAGTCGGGTCCAGCGCAGTCTGGACCAGTCGAGTCGAGTCGAGTCTGGTAGAGTACAGCACGATATAGCTGCCCATGAAGAATAGTACCGTTGTTGTCATCGTTATCATTACGGCAGCTGACATGGGTGCACTCTTTCAGTGAAACTGTTGCTGCAAAACTCACTCTGCCGAAAGTAGAAACACTATGGTCATTTCTTGCAAATCTCCGGCCACCTTCACGCCTAAACTAGAACCAACTCCGAAACCTCAGAAATCAACCCCACATCCTCCATGAACACCCCAAACCCCGAACGCCCAACTCCCCGATGCCCTGGAGCTCCAAAGCCCTAAACTTTGGCCCTAAACTCTAGACCCTATAAACCCTAAACTCCCTAAACCCTAAACCCGAAACCCTGAACCCACCACCAAGCCGGGCCTGTGAAGAAAGTCCAGAGCCCGGAGTCCACCCCGCAGGGCGCAGCAAAGCAGAGGCAGCGGAAGCCGAGAACTTCGGCTGCGCCTCGGCTGCTGGGGACGGGGGCGGGGGCTTCAGGGGCTTCGGGGGTTGAGGGGATTTATGTAAAGGTTCAGAGGTTTAAGGGGTTCGGTTTTAGGGCTTCGGGAAGAAACAAGGGGTTTCAGGAGTTTGGGGGTTGAAGGCTTCATTCAGATATCTCGGCTTAGATGTTGGGGCTTGTAAGCTTTGGGTGCAGGCTTGAGGCCTCAGCCATGTCTGGAGTTGGTGTTTTTGTGTTATTAGACAGGGCTTGGAAAGTACCTTTGAAAAGGTATACTCGGAGCCAAAAGTACCTTCATCGGGATTGCGAGCAGTTGCATCTACCAAGAGTTCTAGCTACCGGGAAGCCTTCAAGCAAGAGAGCCCCGGAGCCCCTAAAGTCGCCAACAGCACATGCTCTTGCTACCTTTTTTTGGTAAAAGGGCCCTGCAATGCCCGAGCTGCTCTTGTAAGCTTGCTCACCTTGACACTCTCTGGAGCCCCAAGAGACCCCGAAGCCCAAACTCTGAGCCCGAAATCCTACGGTCCTTGCCTTTACCCTCGGATCACTCTTACCCTTAACCCCTCAGCGGGACATCATCATCATAATGAAAGTTATACTCGTAAGGACCCATAATAGTCACACTCATAGCCTTTGCGAGACGAGGTGCTCGGCCATCTCCAGTGCGGAGGGCCCCAGAAGCTGTTCGGGGAGGCCACGAGATTTGGGAGTTCAGGTCTACAGTTTCGGGGTGGCTTGGGGGGCTTCAGGGCTTGGGGTTTAGAGTGTCGAGTTGTTTAGGGGCGTCTGGTCTTCAGAGTCTGAGGCTTTGGGGCTTTGGGGGGGGCTGGAAGGTATTCGGCATTGTATCATTCCGGCCCAGTTGCCCCAATCCTTCTACTCTTGCAATCATTGCTGGGCATGCGCTGCACCACCTCTCATGGCCATGCTTCTCCCGCACACAGGCACCCAAGGAGACCCAACCCTGAACAGTAAGCTTCAAGGGATAAAGTCCCTCAAGGCCTCGAGGGCAACGCAGGCATGCTGGCATGCCGGGCCCTGGTGGGGAAAGAGCCTGGAAGGCGGCATTTCGGAGGTGCGGGCGCAACTTCCGCGACGCTTCCAGCGCTGACCGGCAAACCCAGGCAGATGTTTGCTCTCGGAAACTCTCTTCTAGACTACTCTTCTAGACTCAGAAAGAAAAAGGACATGCCCGCATCATTCGGAAGAGCTGATGAAAAAGCCGACCCTGCAGGCCAACACACTTGAAATCTCGTGGCCAGGGCACCCCAGTAGGCCCACCAAGGATGGCGGGCGAGATTCTGCCAGCTCCGCCGCATCGCGCAGGAGACCACTCTGGGGAGAGGCCGGGCTCCGTGTTTTGTTGGGCTTCGGGGGCGGGGCGTAGGATCTAGAGTTGAAGTGGTTTCAGGTCTAGTTGCTTGACCCTGCACCCTAAAGCCCTACACCCAAACCCTAAACCCTAAACCCTAAATCCTACACCCAAACCCTAAACCCAAAATGGTTTAGAGTTTTAGGAACCGGGGCTCCAAGCCCAGAGGTGCTTTTGACGATCCGTTCCTAGGATTTGCACTGTCCTCCCGCCAGGTCCCTAAAGTTGCCAGGCGGGTAGTAGATAGGGGTGCCTTAAGAGTCAGAATAGGGTGCTGGTGTAGATAAATACTAAATACTCATAGCTACGCTGTACTGTAATTGGCGTTATTTCCTAGGAACCTTGGTTATTTGTGCTTCTGCACGATTCGTTTTTGCTTGGGGGGGGACCGGCAAGCCCTGAGAGGCCTTGCCTCCTCCGAAGCGTAGAGCTGGTAGCGATCCACGGCCCTGTACCTCAGAGCCGTCGGCTTGCAGGAAAAGGGCCCAGGGTCCAGACTTTAGGCTTAGAAATTCTTTTTAGGAGATTAGATGAGTTTAGGAGTTGCAGGATGTAGGCGTTGCAGGGTGTGTCTCAATGAAGGGCGCGCTGGTGCCAGGCGCGCTGCATGTCCGCCCCTGCCAGCACCCAAAGGCTTCTGCTGCAAAGGCCCTTGCCTTGAGCGCGCCGCTTAAAGCGCGCCTTGGTTTCCTACGGTTTGGAACGCGTCGCACACAAAATCAACGGGGTCCGCACGCTCCGGCATGGCTTCTTCGCTTTTGGTGTGGGATGCGGGGTTGCTGGAAGCGAACTCAAACTGTTGCAGGGAGGCCCTGAATCGAAACTGAATGAAAGCATGCGAATCGAGGAATGCCTACTCGCCTGGGGGAGCTTACTCGGTTTTCGGCTTTGAAAAATTCAGGTCTGGGGAGCTCCAGAGGTCCACTGGCCATGGCTTCATGACTGCAAATCCGCGACTCCTGGACTTTGGAGTTTGGGCCCCAGTCTGGGCCTCACGGCCCCAAGCAAAGTCTCTCTATGTCGCCATGGAAGATGTGAAGAGACCTTTCCTACGCCCCGGACTCCAAAACGCTAATTGCTTTTCAACCCTTCCTCCCGTGCCCAGAACGAAATTGCCCGCGAGTGCTACAAAAGATGGGCCCTCAAGTTTAGCGCCCTACACTGGTGTATGTATATTATATATATATATATATGTATATATACATACATACATACATACATACATACATATATATATATATACATTATACATACATACATACATACATACATACATACATACATACATACATACATGGAAGAAGTCAACTGCAATAGGAACCACATGGGCCCGCAATCGAGATCGAGATGCACCTTCAGAGCCACATAGCCGAAGTTATACTCTTCCTGCTCCTGGCGCAGCACCAAGCTGGAGAGGCTTAGTAGGTCAACGGCTCAGGTGGAAAGGTGATCGATGCCACGAAGGTCAGCTCAAACAGCAAAACCGGTGGAAGCAAGCGAAAGACTGCACCCCGCAATCCCTCCTTGGCTCCCTCTTGCAAGTCCAAGACTGCCTCGTCAGCGCAGAGCCAGACAGTGGCAAATGCTCCTGCAAGGAGGGCAGATCACTGCGCAGCAGCATGCTTGTTGCAGTTGAAGAGCGAGGTTGAAGGTGGCACAAAGACTTTCACATTAATGCTTTACCGATCAGACCCAAGAAACCACAACCAGCAGAGGAACAACAGCCACCAACAATAATAGCGACGACGACTACCTCCGCCGCAGCCACGCCCACAACAAGAAACCACGACAACGACCACGACACAAAGCGACGACGAGTTGTGCATCGGAATGCAGAGACCAGTCCTGTTCCAAGCCGCCCACGAACGCGGAAGCGGTCACAGAGCAGGACTCCGGGACGAATGGCATGGAGGCTCTGGCCCTGCAAATTGGAGCGCCCATACTGCAGGAGCTGTTGCACATCGTGCTTCCTCCCTCGTAGTGACATACGGAGAACCTGTCCTAGATCAAATTAGCAGATCATGACCTTGACTATCAGAAAAATCTCTAAGTCTTCAAGGCTGATAGTCTCCAAGCCAACGCCCCGGCACAGACGCCTCCTCACAGTCCTCGATGTCGTCGTCGGAAGCCGGCGCGGAAGAGCTTTGTCTGCCAGTGGAACTTCTTTGAGGCTCCAAGTTTGGAGTTTTCCCTATGAGGTCGAGGGCTTCAAATGCTACCAACTCCGTCACTGCAGACTTCCGGCAAAGAGGAGAGACCTCGAGTATGAGACCCCTCCCCATCCGACCCGGCTTTCGCGTGAAGTCCTCCTCAGCACGGATCCTACCCCGACCTCGCCGACGGCGCTTCGGAAGCAGCCTGACGTTGATTTGAGCTCTCGGGTATGAGGCCTTGGTCTTGAAACGAAACCTCGCCCGGAAACCATGGGCTCGCGTGAACTGCAGAGATCTCGGTAAGGCTGGACCTCGTAAGCCCTAAGCCTCACAAGCCAAAATAACCTCCAATGTCAGAAACTCGAAATCTTTCGTTCGTACTTAGATCATAACTCTTCTGCTTGGCTGTCTTCTTCTTCCTCGAATCTCGGTCCGACAATCTTTTGGTACCCTGGCTTTGCTACTAATATTTGTGTGGCCACGGCTATCCTATACTTGCTGTAGCCGGTGTTGACATAAAAACAATGCTACAGTTGCCCGTTCATCCTGTTGTTCGTGCCTCGTGAATCTTGCTACTATTACCGCATTCTTCATAGCAATGACACTCCTGTTGTCAGTGGGGGGTCCTTGGTCACTATTACTATTGGCACATCTCATTTCGCAATGGCATTGCTTGGAGTCTCCCGCCTAAACACTTGCTAGAGGGACCATAAACCCTTCAAGCCGCACCCAAAAATCGCTAGAAAGCGCCCTTGCTGGAGCCTCGGAGGAGGATGAACTCCGCACTCGGCTGCGGCTGCGGCTGCGGCTTCGATCGCCCGCCATGGCCACATGGTCCGAAGAGAAGAGGATAAGGGCTTTTTGGCTCAGGGCTCAAGACCTGTAGGGTCCAGAGTTTATGGCCCGGGGTTCAGGATTTAGGGCTTGGGGCTTAGGGCCTCGAAAGTTGAGGGTTGAGTGTGCTTCTATTGCTATGATTGCGTGGTTTTCGGTCCGTCCTTGCTTTGATTACAGCAGGCCCCTGTAAGGAGCGGATTCGAGAGACTCTGGCTTTGATACAACATGTATGTACGTGTCTGTGCATCCTATTAGGTCCCATGTACAAAAAGAAATGTTGAGGATCTGAGGGTCTCAGACTTTGGGATCTGGGATGGCCTCACAAGGCTGGGGCAACGCATGGTCGGCCCAACTCGGCCTCTCGACGCGCAAGCTTCGGAGACATTGTTTCAGTTCAGGGCCGCAGCAACTTCACTTGGGCTTTGCGAGTGTCTACACGACTATAACCCGATATGTTGAGAACTTCTTCTTACCTGCATACATGAACGCACAGCAGGAGGGAGAAAGAGGAAGAGAGAAAGAGATTAAAAAGCAACGAGCGAGACAAAGAGAGAGGGAGATCTGTCTCTCTCTGTCTGTGTGTGTGTGTGTGTCTGTGTGTGTGTGTGTGTGGGTGGGTGGGGGTGTGTGTGTGTGTGTGTGTGTGTGTGTGGG